GATTGTTTTGGTTTTACCTGCGTTATGTGTTGCACAAACCATACACGATTGACAAAACTTCTGCGCATGAACTGAAAAACCTTTGGTGAACCAGTGTTGAGTTATGGCATCCAACCCCATCCAATCCCTTTTGACACATGGTCCAATCCATGTGTCAATTTTGCAAAGTGAGGAAAGAAATGTTGGGGCAGGCAGGGTTTGTTATTGGGTCCCCGCCACACTGCTTCTTTCTGTGTCTGGCATAGGCGAGTGAATGTGTAGCCTTGCCCATTGAAGTTGAAAGCAAACCAGAATTGACTTTTTGGATGAACTGGAACGCTGAAGAAAGCATTAGAAAGATCCACCACTGAAAAGAATTTTGCATTAGGTGGAACCTGAGACAAGATGGTATAAGGATTTGGAGCATTTGGTGCTCTGGGTTGGACTGCTGTGTTTACTGCTTGCAGATCCTGAACAAAACACCATTCCGTTGGTTGATCCTTATCTCTGATTTTCTTGACAGGAAACAAAGGTGTGCACACTGGAGAATCATCACAGGGAATAATTACTCCTGCTGCTTTAAGAGACTCAAAGACTGGTGTTATACCATCGATGGCTTCTTGTTTAAGTGGATATTGAGTCTTGCAAGGTCTAAAGTCTGGGATGTGGTGAATAAAAGAGTGTGAAAAATTTGGCTCCAGATCGGATAGTCTGTGAACTTTGACAGCTTCTGGGGTTGAGATCAGACAAAGGCCTAATTTGCACATCAAGTCCCTGCCCATCAGGTTAATGGGACAGACTTTTGAGAGCAAGAATGCATGTTTGAAGCTTATATCTGGCCCATCCGCACATTTGAGTGGGACAGTAATGTTCTCTCTAACTGTTTGACCTGATGAACCAACAGAGTACACATAATCTCCACTCATTTTTGGTTTTGTAGTGAGTTCTAAAGCTTTTATCACAGAATGTGTGGCTCCTGAGTCAACTAAGAATGCAACATTTTGTTCTGCAATGGTCAATGTATGTTGTGGAAACCTCTTGAAATGATCAGATGTGTACTGAACATATGTTAGAGCAATTGTATATCTGTTGTCTGAATTCTCTATAGATTGTGTATTAATCTGCTCAGTATGTGTGTGTGAGTGTGGTGCAGTACCTTCTTCTGATCTCACGAGTTGGTTTGGCTTGTCAGCAGGAGTCCATCCCTCTCTGACAACCCTTTCCCATTTCAGTCCGACTTGTCCACCGGGGTCGATGAGGTATTTTTGTGACACTCGCGTTTCCAATGTCCATGTTGACCACACAGGAAACAAACATCCTTTGCAATTTTATCTTTCCAGTGCCTGTGTCGGTTATCTTTTCCTCTATGTGTATGATCTGGTTGTCCATGTTCTCGGATTGTGTTATACATGGTTATTGCTGCCATGTGAAGCTCTTTCTGTGTTGTTTCTTCTTTTTCTTTGAGATGGGCATGTATGGCGTGTCTGCGAAGTTCGGACAGGCGTGCATCATCCCATCCAATGCAGGAACTTTTAACAGCGGAGGCAATGTCTGGTTTTAGTCCTTTTAAGAAACAGTTACAAAGATGAATTTCCCACACATCTGGAATATTGTTTAATCCATCAGGTGGTTGAAGGCCACTGTAGGTGTTGAATACCTCTGTCAGGCGAGTGAGATATTCATCAGGGTTTTCATCATCCTTCTGCTTGCAGGCAGTGATTTTCTCCATGTTAACTTTTACAGGAAAAGCTTGAGTGAATGCATCACAGAGAAGGCGGACAACATCTCTATAATGGGCATTAGACTCATGTTCCCAGGTGATGTGCTTACAATGGATGTCAGCATGTGGGAATTTCCCAGCTATTTTTTGCCAATCTGTGGGTTTCATCTTGGTGATCAGGAGTCTTTTTAGTTCATTTATGGTGGGTTTGAATTCTTGGCAAAATGTGGAGAATTGCTCAGCAAACATTTTACCTGATGTTGTGGGGTTGGGCAGATGTTGTGAGGCTGCTGTGATGTCAGCAGAAGTCCATGGGCGGAAAACCAACGTTGCACCTCCTGGTCCTGATACTTTAACCATGGGTATGTTGAAGGCTGCATCTTGATTTGGATAACGCAGTCTATGTGCTATTGGAGAAGGGGGGTTGGTTGTAGGGTTCTGTGGTGGAACGGACACATCAGGGGCACAATGAGCTGCTCCTGAACTTGTTTTTTGTTGTAGCATGGCGGAGTCTGCTTCCCTTCTTTTGCTGGGTGTCACTGTGTTGTATGGTGGTGGAACTGAAGGATGAATAGGTGGGTTGCCGTCAAGGTCTGGATCCAGCTTCAAAACCGCCAACTGTGGAAACAAAGAAGAAGTCTGCGAGTCTGGTGTTCTTTGTGTGTGTGAAATTTGCTTTTCATTGGTTTCAACTTTTTCACATGGAAAAGGGAGTTGTTTCAGCATTGTTTTCCTATCTCGTGTCTCTGCTTCCCCTTTCCACATCTGAAAACATTCTCTTTGACCTTCCATATTTTCTAATTTTCTTACAGAAACCTTATTTTTCCTTCTCATTTTTTGTTCTTTTCCCTTCAGTTTTTCTTCTAATATCGATATGTTTTTTAAACTGAGGGATCCCCCTATTGGGAATCCAAACTCAGCTGTCCAGACATTTAAATATTTTAAACTTTTATCCCCATATTTCCTTCTCATAACATCCACAATCGCCCCCTCCGGAGGTCCAACCTCGGCAGAGCTTTTACTCCCCATTCCAAATGGAGGTCGTGCACAACTATTACAGTAAAGACGTATCTGTAAAGGGTCACTTCGTTTAAGGATACAAGTGATAAAGACCTGGTTACTTCGTTTAAGGAACAAGCAACAAAGACCTGTTTAAGGCAACAAAGACCTGATCACTTTGTCTGTGCTACAAGTGAAAAAAAAGCAAATCACTTTGTTTATGGTTACAAGTGATTTAAAAACCTGATTGCTTTTAAGGAACAAGCAACAAAGACCTGGTTACTTCGTTTAAGGCTATAAGTAACAAAAAGCAGATCGATTGTGGATATGTGAGAAACGGAAATATTTAGCCAATTTTAAACCCAAAATTTAAAGAAAAGAAATTGAAATGTCAATATTTCAGTGCTCACCAGATGAATTTCGTTGAATTGCGTTTGTGTAAATCCCAGCGGCGACGATCTGGGGCGTTTGCGGTCAGTCCTCCCTTCTCAGAAGAGGATTTTGAGGTTGGAGGCTGAAACGTTTTTCTTCCAGGGTGGCCTGTCACTGTCCGCGTCCCGTCCCAGATGATCGCTCGAGGGATCCCACTTCTGACATCAAATTGTTGTGGCAATTTCTCTGCTGCTGGTGAAGAATGAAATAGAGAACTTCTGCCGGCCGACAAGTTTATTTTCTTTGCAAAGAAAAGGTCAATCAACATGCGAGTGGTCAAAGATGAAGAAAGACCCCGAACATGGGGATATCTACACATTTATACCTGAGGACCACCTCTTTCACACCCCTTTGTCTGCTGTAGGGGTCTGGCCCTCCAGGAAGTGCTTTCCCACCCCTCTGCCCACTGCAGACATCAGGGCCGACCCCCCTGCTGGTGTGTTTTACATATGAGGTGTCCTGCAGGATCTTGCATTGAGGTGCAAAGCCAAGTCCAGACATCACAATCTACAAAACACAAAAGGACCTGGCATCTTGTGCTAGGAAGGGGGAGGTTGGGCATCTGCAGTGGCTGAAACAAAGAAACTGAATCTACCAGAAAAAGTGAAGTTAGTAACATGCATTAATAGGGCATGAATGTGTGCAGAAAGAGAGAAAGAGGAAGAGAGGAGCTCATTGCATCATGGGAAATTCCCTGATAGTCTAGGCCTATAGCAGAATAACTATGATCTGGATCTTTAAGATATGAAGGGGCCTGACCATAAAGAGCTTTGCAGGTGAGGAAGAGGATTTTAAATTTTATTCTGAATTTTACAGGGAGCCAGTGCAAAGAAGCTAGAACAGGAGAGATGTGATCTCTTTTCATAGTTCTTGTCAGTACTCGTGCTGCAGCATTCTGAATTAATTGGAGCGTCTTAATGGACTTATTGGGCAACCTGATAATAAGGAATTGCAGCAATCCAGCCTAGGCCTTTTGAGCAAGTCATGTCTGATTTGGGGGATTTCCTTTAAATCACACACAAACACAGAAGAGGAAATATCAAGGGAAGACATTCAAAACTGAAACTGAAATAACTGCATTCATTAAGCCCATTCAGCACAAATTAGATTATTTTCCACTGACTTGGTTAAACGGAGAAATAATTCACCTTCACTTGGTTTGAAGCCAACTTCAGCAATATCTGATTACTATATCGAGCTGTATTTATGTTAATATATGATATAATACAGTTCTAGCTGTGTCACAATATGATCCCTGTATTTATGATCTTGGGCTGTTTTTCTTTATCTTAAAAGGATTGCAACCTTTGTGTCCTGATCTGGAGAGGGAGGCAGAAAAACATATTTCTGCTACACAGAGTTGTGCTGATCTTTTAATCCTTCCCTGTAATTTCTTTCCTGTAAAGGCTATTTTATTTGTCTGGAAATGATTAATGTGCCCACCAAATTTAGTACATCTACCGCGAGAGATACTAAGTTGAAATTGTATAGGGGGTGCTATCGAGCCATTTTGCCAAATCTTTGCCCAATGGGGAAGTTTGCCTGTTTCGATCTGGTTTTGACTTTCACTTGTTTTAGCCAATGAGTTCACATGATTATGTACATAACCTATACAATAGGAATTCTTGCCACTCTTGATGTTTATACCAGATTACGTGAGTCTCAGTGCATCAAACATGTATTTAAAGGTTAACAGTCTAGGGGGCGCTATGGAGCCGAGGTGCCATTCCTTAAACCCAACTGCAATATCTGCAAAATATAAATATTCACCAGTTCAAACATGAGTGCAAGTTTCCCATGAGGTTTTGAAAATCCTGAAGGCCTCAAACGTGTTTCGAAAATTAAAATTCAATTTTCAAAAATCAGAAATGTGTTGCAAAATGTGAAAAATAATAATCTCTGCAAATACAATGAAATTGCATCCTCTGCCCTCATGTAGGCCAATACAATATAACACAGAAGCCATTCTGTAGAATAAATGATTCTTTGAGCCAAAGCTTTTGCAGGAGAAGTGTCTCTGTTTCTACAATTTCCCTGCAGCCCATAAAGCATTTCCCCCATAGACCACCATTATAAAACAGACTGTCTGTAAAGCAGTTGACACTTCAAACTGCAAACAAGGTCAATTATGACTCTACTATGAATATTTGATCCATGAAGGTTTTACATTTGGAAAACTTCCTTTGAGCCATGCATGCCAATATATACAATATCACAACTGACTGTCTTATCCAAAGCTTCTGCAGAAGAAGAACTTGTGTTTCCAAGAAACCGGCTTGTCGGAAGAAAAAGGAAGGGACGAATAGTGTGAAAGTTTACTGGAAAGTGAAACTATTGTGTCACATTGCACAGCAGCCCTGTGTCAGTGTGTGGGCTCAGAGTATAAAAGAGAGAGTGATCCCTTGTTGCTGTACACCATCAGGAGTCCAGCCTGAAGAAAGACACAGAGGAGAGTGAGCCAGAACCTGTCTACAGCCACAACCATGAATCCAGCTGCCATTGCCTTTCTCACCTGCCTGTTTGTCTTCAGTGCACAAGGTACTGTCAACAGTTTAGTGTTCTGTGATTATGTTGTTGTTGTTATCTTCAATCTCAATATGCTCACCTTTCCTCTCACTGTATGTTCATATGGACTGTTTTGCTGAGTTTGAATAAATAAAAATGAAGGTAAATAGTCCATGACATTGATTTAAACAGTGATAGAGACAAAAAGAAGAGACAGCTGGGGGACTGTTGATTTAAACAAATGAACATTCAATAGTCAATATTGTTGACTTTAAAATGTATGATATTTGGCTAATAAAATCATTAAAGTTTGTCTTTAGATCTGAGGAAATTACAGAAACCAAATAGCACACTATTGTAATACCAAGAAAATTATTACATATACTCCAGAATACCTTTTTTCAGTTATAAGCAAGAGGCTTTGTTACAAAATTACGTCTAACTTTTATCTCTGTCCACTGAAGTTGAATTCAACCAGTGACAATAGTTCTGCCTCCAGACCAGCCTGCCTCTCATAAAACACTGATACATGTTCATTCTGAAGTCTGCGCACTGATTTGAAAGATGACCAACAGATAATAAGGTTGTGTCTTTCTTCCCACAGGGCTACCAGCCAACAGATCTAATAAGTGCAAGTGTTTAGACGGTTACATCGAACACATCAGGCCACAGTCCATCAAGGCAGTACGGGCTGTACACCTCCCAAATATCTTCTGTCTACATACAGAGATTATGTGAGTATATGAGCTGGATTAAGTCACATTTACTGACATGTCATTGTCCAGCTTCTCTCTAACAAAGCTCTTTCTTCTCTCCCAGTATTACAACAACAGCAAATAAGGACAAATGTGTGGATCCAAAGTCTAAAATCGGAAAACTCATTCTGAATAACATGAACAAGTAAGATCAGCTGAACTGCACCAACTACAGACAAAATAACACAGTGAATACTGTCACTGATTCAGATCTGCAGTGCTTTTTACTAATAGTGTCATATGTTGATTCAGGCAGAAGAAGAATGGAGCCATGAGCACAACGACGGCTTCAAGCTCAACAAGACTCTACACAACATCCAGGCTGTAAGTCTCTGCACTGAAGAGGAAGTCAAATACTGCTGTTGTCATAGAAGGAGTTGTTCATCACCGTTGGACTCCGTCCATATCATCTACCGAGAGAGATCCCGCACGTCATCATCGGTGTCGTACATCCCTCCCTCTGCAAACCCAACATCCTGCTATGTGCCTCTGGTGAAGAGGAAGCCGGCGACCACTTTACACTTGCCATTTTTGCACATTAGAAAGTGGGACTTTAAATTAAACTATATATATATTATTAATATATGTATGTCTATTTCATATGGAGTATGTAACAAAAGTAATTTCCCCCTGGGATTATTAAAGTATGTCTGATTCTGATTACCTTTATCATGTAAATACAATAAGTGATCAAAATGTTGTCAGTGGCCAGTCTTCTGTTTGTGTTCTCTTAACTTAAACTGTCTACACGTGTACATATGGAGTAAATAATCTGTATATACTTTTTAATAAAACACCTGATGGGACTTTCTGTGCTCTGTGTTTTACATGTTAACATAACCCACACTGAACCTATGCTCACATTCAACAGTCAGTATAATGTAGTCTGCAGTCTATATGTATGACCAAAAGTATGTGGACACCCAAACATCCCACCCACATTCTAATAGTTAAGCCTGTCATTAAAAACACATTAATGTGCCCAGAAATCAGCCAAGATGATGGTACCTGGTTGCAGAGATTTGCTTCTATCCAGACACAAGAGCATCAGGGAGGTCAAACACTGATGCTGGCTGACTGACCTTCTGTATTTGTCGACCTGAGAATCAGACTCAACAATCAACAACAAATCTTTCTCAGCTCTGATGGGTTGTGTTTATTAAGGCCCGGTGGATTCTTGCAGATGCCATTAGCAGCAGCAGGAGGAGCCAGAGGAACCAAAGTTTCTCACAGATCATCTGTCTCATGTACTACTGTCAGGATATAGTGAGTTTCAGGAAATGTGTCAAAAAAGTTATTTTCATAGACGTCCCCTACTGCAGTTTTAACTGGTACAGTCCACTTATGTCACAGGCTATCTCAGTAACTTCACTGACATGATGTGAAGATGAGCCATAGCCTTCATTTTAACATTCGTTAGTTCACCCTCTCTGTGTGTTTGACCAAACGGTCTGGATGTCATATATTATCCTGCTGCTTTGAACTTGTTAATTTATTATCATATTGCAGCTCTATTTGCTCCTAGAGTCACATTACAAAGAAAATATTTGTTAATGTTTTTCCAGCAAGAAACACTACGACAGCCAGCTATAGTATAGTTTAAGGAAAAACTTCCTTTTAAGAGGCAGAAACCTCGGACAGACCCCTCGGCTCTAGGTGGGTGGTAGTCTGCCTCGACCAGTTGGGGTGAGAGAGAGAGACAGAGAGAGACAGAAAGAGAGACAGAACAGAGGTAACAACAGAAGGACAGAGACAAACGTGCACAGCAACAACAGTAGCAACAACTACACTAATAGTAGTGACTGATGATGATGATGAACATGAAGAAGATGATGACGACAACAACAACAACGATGGGGGACAATGAGCAGTGATTATAGTAATAATAGTAACTGTACTACTAACAATAGTGATAATAATAATATAACACTAATATCAGTGATATTAGCAATGGGAGGCAAGCAGGACCATGGCAGGAGGCTCCACCAGGATCCATGAGAACCTGCGAGATGAGAAAACACAAGAACTCCGGAGAAAAAGTGAAGTTAGTAACATGCATTAATAGGGAATGATTGTGTGCAGAAAGAGAGAAAGAGGAAGAGAGGAGCTCAGTGCATCAGGGGAAATTCCCCCGATAGTCTAGGCCTATAGCAGCATAACTAAGGGATGGTTGAGGACTCACCCGAGTCAGACCTAACTATAAGCTTTATCAAAGAGGAATGTCTTAAGCCTACTCTTAAATGTGGAGAGGGTGTCTGCCTCCCGAACCACAACTGGAAGCTGGTTCCACAGGAGAGGAGCTTGGTAACTGAAGGCTCTGGCTCCTGTTCTACTTTTAGATACTATTGGAACCACAAGTAGCCCTGCATTCAGAGAACACAGTGTTCTAGAGGGGTAATAGGGTACTATGAGCTCTTTAAGATATGAAGGGGCCTGACCATAAAGAGCTTTATAGGTGAGGAAGAGGATTTTAAATTCTATTCTGAATTTTACAGGGAGCCAGTGCAGAGAAGCTAGAACAGGAGAGATGTGATCTCTTTTCATAGTTCCTGTCAGTACTCGTGCTGCAGCATTCTGAATTAATTGGAGCGTCTTAATGGACTTATTGGGGCAACCTGATAATAAGGAATTGCAGTAATCCAGCCTAGAAGTGTCTAATTTTTGTAATATTACGTAGATTAAAAAAGGCAGTCCTAGAGGTTTGCTTTATGTGGGAATTAAAGGAGAAGTCCTGATCAAAGATAACTCCAAGATTCCTGACAGTGGTGCTAGAGGCCAAGGTAATCTAGAGTAACTATATCTTAGTATTTATATCTACAAGAATTTAGTTTTTTTCTGAGTTTAGCATCAGAAAATTGCAGCTCATCCAGGTTTGTATGTCCTTAAGACATATTTGTAACTTAGATAACTGATTAATTTCATCGGGCTTGATCGACAGGTATAACTGGGTATCATCTGCATAAAAGTGAAAGTTAATGGAATGATTCCTAATAATATTGCCTAAGGGAAGCATATATAAAGTGAATAGAATTGGTCCAAATACAGAACCTTATTGAACTCCATGACTAACTTTAGTATTTATGGAGGATTCATCGTTAACGTGTGCAAACTGAGAACGATCTGATAAGTATGACTTACACCAGCTTAGTGTGGTTCCTTTGATGCCAATTAGATGCTCAAGTCTCTGTAAAAGAATATTATGGTCAATGGTGTCAAATGCAGCACTAAGATCTAATAATACAAGTACAGACACAAGTCCACTGTCGGAAGCAATCAGAAGGTCATTATTAACTTTATCCAGAGCTTTCTCTGTGCTGTGATGAACTCTAAATCCTGACTGAAAATCCTCAAATAAGTTATTGCTATGTAGAAAGTCACACAACTGTTTGGCGACTACTTTCTCCAGAATCTTAAAGAGGAAGGGTAGGTTAGAAATCGGTCTATAGTTGGCTAAAACCCTTGGGTCAAGAGTGGCCTTTTTAGGAAGGGGTTTAATTACAGCTACTTTAAAGGACTGTGGTTTACTCAGTTTGCATAATGCACTTGCGCAGGTTTCAGCTCATGCACTCTGCACATTGTTGACTTACTCAACTGTGAGAAGTCTGAGAGCATCCGTGCAACAGGAAGCTTCGTATGGACATGTAATATGGTGTAACACCATGAATGTGCCTGTTAAACCAGCAAGTGAGCAAGTGCTGTGATGTCCGGACATTGAGGCATTTGATTGTGCTCCTCTGTACAGTGGTATCAGCTCTTGTCTCTATCCTGCATGATCCCCTGCCTGCTCTTTGGACTTCTGCCTCTGTGCCAAACCCCTTTTTGGGGAAGTTTGCCTGTTTCGATCTGGTTTTGACTTTCACTTGTTTTTGCCAATGAGTTCACATGATTATCTACATAACCTATACTGTAAGGTGTCAGTGCAGAGGGGTTAGGGTGCACATTGAGGCAGGGACTTTCCCTCAAACTATTAGTTTCACATCAAGTTTCTCAGGAAATCTTAAGGGCATTGCTAAAGAAATTAAAAAGGGAACACATGCTGGCACTGCATTACATAAGTAAAGTTAATTCAGAACATGCCTCCAGAAGTAAAACTGGACTATACTATAATAAGCAATACAATGCACCCTTACACACACACACACTGTATAACTGATGAAAGTCATCATTTATAACATGATCACTGCAAAGCCTTGGAAACTCAGTGGGCTCCAAGTTTAACCATTCCGCAATGGTTTGGTGCATCTTCTGTTCATGCTGTGTTTTTACACAGCATGAACAAAAGCGTAGTGCAAATTTACTATAAGACTACCTCACATGAGACTAGCTACACCAGCAGTCAGTTTTAAAGCATTTACACTGAGAACAGCATGTTTTCTGAACACCAGTATGGTGGCTGTTAGAGGCTGTGACATCATCCGGGCTGTTGCATCACAAATGGGACTCACACTCATCCACACACGTGTCTATGTTTACAACGTCCTGTTGAGCAAGTCATGTCTGATTTGGGGGATTTCCTTCAAATCACACACAAACACAGAAGAGGAAATATCAAGGGAAGACATTCAAAACTGAAACTGAAATAACTGCATTCATTAAGCCCATTCAGCACAAATTGGATTATTTTCCACTGACTTGGTTAAACGGAGAAATAATTCATCTTCACTTGGTTTGAAGCCAACTTCATCAATATCTGATTACTATATCGAGCTGTATTTATGTTAATATATGATATAATACAGTTCTAGCTGTGTCACAATATGATCCCTGTATTTATGATCTTGGGCTGTTTTTCTTTGTCTTAAAAGGATTGCAACCTTTGTGTCCTGATCTGAGGGTTGTGAGTTGATTAACAGGAGAGGGAGGCAGAAAAACATATTTCTGCTACACAGAGTTGTGCTAATCTTTTAATCCTTCCCTGTAATTTCTTTCCTGTAAAGGCTATTTTATTTGTCTGGAAATGATTAATGTGCCCACCAAATTTAGTACATCTACAGCTTGAGATACTAAGTTGAAATTGTATAGGGGGTGCTATCGAGCCATTTTGCCAAATCTTTGCCCAAGACCAATATCAGATAGGAATTCTTGCCACTCTTGATGTTTATACCAGATTACGTGAGTCTCAGTGCGTCAAACGTGTATTTAAAGGTTAACAGTCTAGGGGGCGCTATGGAGCCGACGTGCCATTCCTCAAACCCAACTGCAATATCTGCAAAATATAAATATTCACCAGTTCAAACATGAGTGCAAGTTTCCCATGAGGTTTTGAAAATCCTGAAGGCCTCAAACGTGTTTCGAAAATTAAAATTCATGCACAAAATCCAAAATGGATGACTTCCTTTCTGGCAAACTCTCGTAAGAAAAATGTAAATAAGTTCCTAATAATAGACGTATTTCAATCCCATTCGATCCCACCAACATTTTGTGAATATCAAAGCAACTTTATCCCAACACTGGCGTGTGTTTGGGGTTGCCATAGAGACCAATTTTCACTGGTTCTGATGTCTTTGCCCATTTTCATGAATTTTCAAAAATCAGAAATGTGTTGCAAAATGTGAAAAATAATAATCTCTGCAAATACAATGAAATTGCATCCTCTGCCCTCATGTAGGCCAATACAATATAACACAGAAGCCATTCTGTAGAATAAATGATTCTTTGAGCCAAAGCTTCTGCAGGGGAAGTGTCTCTGTTTCTACAATTTCCCTGCAGCCCATAAAGCATTTCCCCCATAGACCACCATTATAAAACAGACTGTCTGTAAAGCAGTTGACACTTCAAACTGCAAACAAGGTCAATTATGACTCTACTATGAATATTTGATCCATGAAGGTTTTACATTTGGAAAACTTCCTCTGAGCCATGCATGCCAATATATACAATATCACAACTGACTGTCTTATCCAAAGCTTCTGCAGAAGAAGAACTTGTGTTTCCAAGAAACCGGCTTGTCAGAAGAAAAAGGAAGGGACGAATAGTGTGAAAGTTTACTGGAAAGTGAAACTATTGTGTCACATTGCACAGCAGCCCTGTGTCAGTGTGTGGGCTCAGAGTATAAAAGAGAGAGTGATCTCTTGTTGCTGTACACCATCAGGAGTCCAGCCTGAAGAAAGACACAGAGGAGAGTGAGCCAGAACCTGTCTACAGCCACAACCATGAATCCAGCTGCCATTGCCTTTCTCACCTGCCTGTTTGTCTTCAGTGCACAAGGTACTGTCAACAGTTTAGTGTTCTGTGATTATGTTGTTGTTGTTATCTTCAATCTCAATATGCTCACCTTTCCTCTCACTGTATGTTCATATGGACTGTTTTGCTGAGTTTGAATAAATAAAAATGAAGGTAAATAGTCCATGACATTGATTTAAACAGTGATAAAGACAAAAAGAAGAGACAGCTGGGGGACTGTTGATTTAAACAAATGAATATTCTATAGTCAATATTGTTGACTTTAAAATGTATGATATTTGGCTAATAATATCATTAAAGTTTGTCTTTAGATCTGAGGAAATTACAGAAACCAAATAGCACACTATTGTAATACCAAGAAAATTATTACATATACTCCAGAATACCTTTTTTCAGTTATAAGCAAGAGGCTTTGTTACATTTACGTCTAACCTTTTATCTCTGTCCACTGAAGTTGAATTCAACCAGTGACAATAGTTCTGCCTCCAGAGCAGCCTGCCTCTCATAAAACACTGATACATGTTCATTCTGAAGTCTGCGCACTGATTTGAAAGATGACCAACAGATAATAAGGTTGTGTCTTTCTTCCCACAGGGCTACCAGCCAACAGATCTAATAAGTGCAAGTGTTTAGATGGTTACATCGAGCACATCAGGCCACAGTCCATCAAGGCAGTACGGGCTGTACACCTCCCAAATATCTTCTGTCCACATACAGAGATTATGTGAGTATATGAGCTGGATTAAGTCACATTTACTGACATGTCATTGTCCAGCTTCTCTCTAACAAAGCTCTTTCTTCTCTCTCAGTATTACAACAACAGCAAATAAGGACAAATGTGTGGATCCAAAGTCTAAACTTGGAAAACTCATTCTGAATAACATGAACAAGTAAGATCAGCTGAACTGCACCAACTACAGACAACATAACACAGTGAATACTGTCACTGATTCAGATCTGCAGTGCTTTTTACTAATAGTGTCATATGTTGATTCAGGCAGAAGAAGAATGGAGCCGTGAGCACAACGACGGTTTCAAGCTCAACAAGACTCTACACAACATCCAGGCTGTAAGTCTGTGCACTGAAGAGGAAGTCAAATACTGCTGTTGTCCATATCATCTACCGAGAGAGATCCCACACGTCATCATTGGTGTCGTACATCCCTCCCTCTGCAAACCCAACATCCTGCTATGTGCCTCTGGTGAAGAGGAAGCCTGCGACCACTTTACACTTGCCATTTTTGCACATTAGAAAGTGGGACTTTAAATTAAACTATATATATATTATTAATATATGTATGTCTATTTCATATGGAGTATGTAACAAAAGTAATTTCCCCCTGGGATTATTAAAGTATGTCTGATTCTGATTCTGATTACCTTTATCATGTAAATACAATAAGTGATCAAAATGTTGTCAGTGGCCAGTCTTCTGTTTGCGTTCTCTTAACTTAAACTGTCTTCACGTGTACATATGGAGTAAATAATCTGTATATACTTTTTAATAAAACACCTGATGGGACTTTCTGTGCTCTGTGTTTTACATGTTAACATAACCCACACTGAACCTATGCTCACATTCAACAGTCAGTATAATGTAGTCTGCAGTCTATATGTATGACCAAAAGTATGTGGACACCCAAACATCCCACCCACATTCTAATAGTTAAGCCTGTCATTAAAAACACATTAATGTGCCCAGAAATCAGCCAAGATGATGGTACCTGGTTGCAGAGATTTGCTTCTATCCAGACACAAGAGCATCAGGGAGGTCAAACACTGATGCTGGCTGACTGACCTTCTGTATTTGTCGACCTGAGAATCAGACTCAACAATCAACAACAAATCTTTCTCAGCTCTGATGGGTTGTGTTTATTAAGGCCCGGTGGATTCTTGCAGATGCCATTAGCAGCAGCAGGAGGAGCCAGAGGAACCTAAGTTTCCCACAGATCATCTGTCTCATGTACTACTGTCAGGATATAGTGAGTTTCAGGAAATGTGTCAAAAAAGTTATTTTCATAAACATCCCCTACTGCAGTTTTAACTGGTACAGTCCACTTATGTCACAGGCTATCTCAGTAACTTCACTGACATGATATGAAGATGAGCCATAGCCTTCATTTTAACATTCGTTAGTTCACCCTCTCTGTGTGTTTGACCAAACGGTCTGGATGTCATATATTATCCTGCTGCTTTGAACTTGTTAATTTATTATCATATTGCAGCTCTATTTGCTCCTAAAGTCACATTACAAAGAAAATATTTGTTAATGTTTTTCCAGCAAAAAACACTACGACAGCCAGCTATAGTATAGTTTAAGGAAAAAACTTCCTTTTAAGAGGCAGAAACCTCGGACAGACCCCTCGGCTCTAGGTGGGTGGTAGTCTGCCTCGACCAGTTGGGGTGAGAGAGAGAGACAGAGACAGTGCAGTATTGTAACATGTCATCGTCACATAGGCCAGTGGAGGGGAGTGGCCTGGTTACAGGCTCCACTCCTAGAGATGGAGGTCTGCCAAAAAGAATTTCAAAGGGGCTCATGTTCACACTGGATCTTTTTCTCATTCTTATGTGCATTAGAACAATCGGCAGGGCCTTTGTCCATGGCAGCCACGTTTCCTCACAGCATTTTGCTAGTTTTGATTTCAGAGTGCCATTTTCTCGTTCGACCGCACCTCCACTGGCAGGGTGATATGCACAATGTCGTCTGAGGTCAATGGCAAGAAAATCACTGATTTGGGTTATTGCAGAATTGAAAAAGTGTGTGCCATTATCGCTGCTCAGTTTAGTTGGTATTCCCCATCTGGGAATGATTTCTGTTAACAGAGCTTTTGCTACCACTTGGCTGCTTTGGTGTCTTGCTGGGAATGCTTCAACCCATTTTGACCACATGTCCACCATCACCAAGCAGTACTTCTTCCCTTCTGCTGGCGAAAGTTCTATGAAATCCATCATCAAATGTTCGAATGGTCTATCTGGTGGTGGGTGTGGGTCCGTGTATGTTTTGGTCATTGGATTTTCCTTTCAGAAACGGGTATTAAAAAACTGAAAACGAGTGGTTATTTGATTTTCGTTTTAAAATACAAAAATTAAAATTGAAATACAAGGTGTTTTTCTTTTCCATGGTCAAAAAGGGATGAGCGAAATTAAAAAAATTATTCGATTTTCATTTTCTATTTCATATAACAAAAAATAAAATCACTAGAAAACAGAAACGGAAAAAAGGTCTGTTTTTTCATATTCTGAGACCGGATGTTGTCATTAACAGGACGGTGTTGTGTAGAAGAAACAGTAGGCTAGTAGACTGCGGTCAATCCAGCCGTGAGTCCGATCTCCGTAGTCAAATCAGCCGCACTTAAATTTAGTGTACAAGTATTCTCAGCATTATGGTAAATGCGGAGAAACAGCGTATTTACTTCCAAAATAAAGGTATTTAGAGCCGTAAGCTATAATTAAAATATGTTACATTAAAGTGTTTCATGCGCCCCTGATGAATAAAAAAACACTTTATATCAAGTATCTTTACTGCACCAGTGTGGAGAAATGCCAAAATAAAAGTCTCATATGTATGCCTCCAGAGATTGCATATTTGACCATATTTGAGGTACTGTAAAAACATATTGCTCAATAATTCCTGGCTATGGATGGTATATCTGACTTCTACACATCTAAGACTACAAGTATACTTAATATCAAGCATTTTTACTGTACCAATTTGGAGAAATTGAAGAATAAAAGTCCCATATTTATACTTCCAGATTCAATTCAATTCAATTTCAAATCAATTTTATTTGTATAGCGCCAATTCATAACAGAAGTTATCTCAGGACACTTTTCAAATAGAGCAGGTCTAGACCGAACTCTTTAACATTAATTACAGAGACCCAACAGTACCACCATGAGCAAGCACTTGGCAACAAGGGCAAGGAAAAACTGCCTGTTAAAAGGCAGAAACCTAGGACAGATCCTCCGGCTCTAGGTGGGTGGTCGTCTGTCTCGACCAGTTGGGGTGAGAGAGAGAGAGAGCGAGAGAGAGAGGCAGAGAGAGAGAGAGCGAGAGACAGACAGACAGACAGGTGCACAGCAACAACAGTATTGGCAATGGCAGTCAAGCAGGACCATGGCAGGAGGCTCCACCAGGATCCATGAGAACCTGCGAGACGAGAAAGCACAAGAACTCCGGGGAAGAAGTGGAGTTAGTAACATGCATTAATGGGACATGGATGAGTGCATAAAGAGAGACGAAGGGAGGAGCTCAGTGCACCATGGGAAATCCCCCGATAGTCTAGGCCTATAGCAGCATAACTAAGGGATGGTTCAGGACTCACCTGATCCAGCCCTAACTATAAGCTTTATCAAAGAGGAATGTCTTAAGCCTACTCTTGAATGTGGTGAGGGTGTCTGCCTCCCGAACCACAACTGGAAGCTGGTTCCACAGGAGAGGAGCTTGGTAACTGAAGGCTCTGGCTCCTGTTCTACTTTTAGAGACTATAGGAACCACAAGTAGCCCAGCATTCAGAGAACGTAGTGTTCTAGTGGGGTAAGAGGGTACTATGAGCTCTTTAAGATATGAAGGGGCCTGACCATGAAGAGCTTTATAGGTGAGGAGGAGGATTTTAAATTCAATTCTACATTTTACAGGGAGCCAGTGCAGAGAAGCTAGTACAGGAGAGATGTGATCTCTTTTTCTAGTTCCTGTCAGTACTCGTGCTGCAGCGTTCTGAATTAATTGGAGCGTTTTAATGGACTTATTGGGGCAACCTGATAATAAAGAGTTGCAGTAATCCAGCCTTCGGATTAACAAATGCATGGATTAGTTTTTCTGCATCTGTCTGTGATAGGATGTGTCTAATTTTTCTAATATTACGTAAATGAAAGAAGGCGGTCCTAGATTCCATATTTTCTTATATTTCTGAGCTACTGTAAAAACATATTGCTCAATATTTCCAGGCTATGGGTGAAGCATTTTCATTATACTTCAATAATGATGCAGTAATCGTGACAAAATTTCACACAAATGTTAAATAACATCTTGATAAGATAAACACTAAACACTAACACAAAATCCTACACAATTCTAATTTGTTTACTTTTCACACAAAATGCAATGCCAGTCCACATTCTTCTTATTTTGCTGCTCTGCTGTGTCCATTTGTAGGTAAAAGGGAAAAATAATTAGTTTTAACTTCAAAACACCATTGTACCTACTGTCTCTTCCTCACATATTATTTTTTATATTATTCAGTGTGACAGCTGTTGCAGGTGGTTCCACATACAGTTTACATTTTTACAGTAGCTCAAATATAAGAAAATATGGAATCTGGAAGTATAAATATGGGACTTTTATTCTTCAATTTCTCCACATTGATACAGTAAAAATGCTTGATATTAAGTATACTTGCAGTCTTAGATGTGTAGAAGTCAAATATATCATCCATAGCCAGGAATTATTGAGCAAAGTGTTTTTACAGTAGCTCAAATATATGAAAATATACCACATGGAGGTACAAATATGGACTTTTATTGTTGAATTTCTCCAAATTGATACAGTAAAAATGCTTGATATTAAGTATGTTTGTAGTCTCATATGTGTAAAAGTCAAATATACCATCAGTAGCCAGGAAACACTGAGCAATATGTTTTTACAGTACCTCAAATATGGTCAAATATGCAATCTCTGGAGGCATAAATATGAGACTTTTATTTTGGCATTTCTCCACACTGGTGCAGTAAAGATACTTGATATAAAGTGTTTTTTTATTCATCAGGGGCACAACACTTTAATGTAACATATTTTAATTATAGCTTACGGCTCTAAATACCTTTATTTTGAAAACCGGAAGTAAATACGCTGTTTCTCCGCATTTACCATAATGCTGAGAATACTTGTACACTCTAAATTTAAGTGCGGCTGATTTGACCACGGAGATCGGACTCACGGCTGGATTGACCGCAGTCTACTAGCCTACTGTTTCTTCTCCACAGCACCGTCCTGTACATGACAACATCCGGTCTCAGAATATGAAAAACAGGCCTTTTTTCCGTTTCTGTTTTCTAGTGATTTTATTTTTTGTTATATGAAATAGAAAATGAAAATCGAATAATTTTTTAATTTCGCTCATCCCTTTTTGACCATGAAAAAGAAAAACGCCT